GCTTATTTCGAAGGACAGTTTTAGTTAAGGAATTTAAAGGCTCTTGTTGACTTTTATAGCTTCCTCTGTAGTTTTTTAGCCTCACTGAACCATAAAAGCAGTCAGCTATCAGTCTAGCTCAAAACTGCCATAAGGGGTCAGCGATGAAAGCCCCTTTTTATACCTAGCTTTTATTAATATGGTATTGTTTTCACACATCTTTTAGTTACAATTTCCTGCTGGATGTTTAAGACCAAGTTAAAATGAGACCTATGTTAATCAAAATTTACTTCTTGCTGTCTATCAAGCACAGTTAAATCTCCTCTGGCATTACCTTTGCAACCATGTACAGAACCTCTTAGGTCCTCTGTCAGTGTAGTCACCAGGATAGGACACAGTCTTGTTTAACCATGTTGTTTTCTGTGAATGTTGGTTTTTCCCTCTTTTGTGAGCCCCCCTTTTGGCACCCTGTACATTAGTTGATTTCTATCCTCTGGGATCCAGTGATCCCCCTGCTCAGGAGGTTGGGTGACTCACCAAAGTTGTAGGCTCTAGTGGAAGTAATTTCCTTGAGTCTTGGATCTTCATTGACGTTGGAGGGCCAGGAGCAAAATTGACTATCCTTTTAGCCCAGTTAACTTTCTACTTCTGGTCTCTAAACCAGTTGTTGAACACCAAGAAGAGAAGATCAGTTGCATCAGCATTTCTGTGAAAGCAATGAGCTTAACTATTATAATCTCATATGGATATCAAGTACTTTGAAATATAAAGCATAGCCATAGAACTGTTATTCTTTACCATTCATGGTTGTTTTAGAAGTTGAATTCCTGCAAAGGTGACAATTATAAAGTTTTACAGAAAAAATTAGATATTAAGAGCCACATATGGTATCTCAACATGACAATCATATATTATCTTTGAAACACATTTAAATGTCTATCTTAATATAAAATATCCTCTTTTTAGTCAATCATTTCCATCTAATACTCAATGAATCTGTCATCTAATTTGTTATCCTTTAATAAGGATGTCAACAAGGAAGTATGTGACATTGTTTGGACTGCTTAGTGTTGAGCATTTCTCAGTGTAGTGACACATATATAGTATACAAATCATATAAGCTTTTTAAAAAAACCCTATCACTTGCCTGGTGGCCTCATGCTGGTTTGACATACGACTCTTACCACAAGTAGCTGAAGAAGGCAGCTCATAAATCTGGGACACCCCAAAGTTAGGACTTTTCTTTGCACACCTGAGGCTGCCCATGGTGGCTCTGCAGCTGTCATCATGCCACAGAATGAATATGTTGAATTACACCATAAATGTTCTGGGTACCTCTTGGATTACCATGAGAAAAAGAGAAAGAAGGAAAGTTGAGAGGTGCATGAAAGTTCAAAGAAGGAAAAACAAAATGATTGGCCTAAAGGCTAAGCTCTACCACAAACAGCACCATGTGGTAAAAATACAAATGAAGAAGACTATCAAGATGCATGAAAAGAAAAATACCAAACAAGAGAATGATGAAGAGACTCCACAAGGAGCAGGCCCTGCCTACCTGCTGGACAGGGAAGGACAGTCTCATGCAAAAGTACTTTCCAACATGATTAAACAAAAACAAAAAGGCAGGAAAATGGGAAGTTCCTCTGCCCCAAGTTTGTGCCCAGGAGAAATGGAAGTATTAAAAATTATTCAAACTGGAAAGAGAAAAAAGAAAGGCATGGAAGAGGATGTTTACTAAAGTCTGCTTTGTTGGAGATGGCTTTACAAGAAAACCATATAGAGTATGCAATGTGTTAATT